TCCATATGACACCTGGTGCTCATCACAAGTGCACTCCTTAATCCCCATCACCTACATAGCCCATACTCCCCACCTGTGTCCTGAAATAGGGACACTTTAAAACATTTTTGTCTCTTACAGTTTTTTTTTTTTTTTCTGGCAGATCAACCACTCATTTTTACCTTTAAAAGCCAAAGTAAGAATTTTATAACTGCTTATGACAGTATGATTTCTATTTATAATTTCCATCAAACTTAAAATAATATCCTAAATGTAGAGATTACCAAAATACATTGGTGGTGGGGAGAGGTTGAAACAGATATTTATGTATCCAAGATATAATTCTAAATCTGATTTTTATTCTCAGATTGAGCACATAATATATGGTTTCACCATTTCTGCCAAAGCATATTTATTTAGCATTATCAATGCTGGGGCAAGTTTTATATAACATGCTATTTCTTTCTATTTCCAGCTCATTTAAAAATTTTTATTTCATTTTTAATTTTTTAAAGACTTTATTTATTTGAGAAAGAGAGAGCATGAGCAAAAATAGAGAAGGAGGGGGAGAGGGAGAAGGAGATCCCTTGCTGAGCAGGGATGACACCCCAACATGACCTCGATCCCAGGACCCTGAGATCATGACCTGAGCTGTAGGCAGACAGCTGACCAAGCCATCCAGATGCCCCTGCAGTTCATTTTTTTAAATTAAAAAAATAAACAAGAATTTATGCTTTAAAATATTAAATAATACAAAAATACACAGGGTAAAAAGTTAAAGCCGGCCCTGCTCCCATCTCATCCTTCCCTCCAAAGTAAAATACTGCTAAACAGTTTGGTGTGCAGTCCATAGACCATTTTCTATAATGTTAGACACATACCCACATACACATATACCCTGAGACCTTACGTACATAAACAACATATTAAGCATACAGTTCTGCTACTAGCTCTTTGCTCTACACCGTCCTATAGTACATCTATACTATACTGATAGTTGAATGTTCATGGATATTAGGGTAGTAAAGTGATTGGGAACTTGGTTTCTAATTCAAATCTTTGTTCTGCCACTATATGCCCTTGAACAAATTAATCTTTTGGTGTCCTATTTTTCTCTTTTATAAAGTGTATGAAAATAATAGTACCTACCTCATAGGATTGTTATGTATGAAAATAATAGTACCTACCTCATAGGATTTTATAATTATACAAGTTCAGCATATTACCTAAAATGAATGCATGTGAAACACTTAGAAGGGCCCAGTCGCATAACAGACTTTTAATGGCATTGTGTTAATATTGCAATATTTTTACTGATTGTATAATTGTTAGTGATGGGAACCACTTAAACTAGTCTCAAAATGTGAATACTTCCAAGTTGGGTTTTTAATGAAATATAATACTATAAGCATCGAAGTATATCTTTTCTGCTTGCATTGAATTACAGTATTTTTAAAAAGATTTTATTTATTTGTTTTTGAGAGAGAGAGAGCACAAGAGGGAGAGGCAGAGGGAGAGAGAATCTCAAGCAGACTCCCCACTGAGTGTGGAACCCAATGTGGGGCTCCATCCCTGGACCCCAAGATTATGACCCAAGCTGAAACCAAGAGTCAGACACTCAAACAACTGTACCACACAGGTGCTCCAAATTACAGTATATTGTGATAACATGTCCATCATAGGCTATGCACATCTTTACAGCTTTTGCTTGGTATTGCTTTCCAAAGGGATTATACCGGTTTCAGTACTAACATCAAGGAATTACTCAAACTTTTTGACAGAATTTAGAAATATTTTGTTACCTTAGTAGTCATAAAATGGTACTTACACTTTTTAAAAAATTTTTTTAGATTTTTTAAATTTATCTGACACAAAGACACAGAGGGAGTGAGCACAAGCAGGGGGAGCTGCAGGCAGAGGAAGAGGGAGAAGCAGGCCCCAGTGAGTGTGAAACCCAACGTGGGACTCCATCCTAGGACCCCGGGATCATGATCTAAGCCAAAGGCAGACGTCCTCCCGACTGAGCCACCCAGGCCCCCTAATTTATACTTTTTATGAACATATTTTTTCATGTGCTTATTATTTGCCTTTGTTTATTCATTGTACAGTGATTGTATTTGAGCATATTGATGTATTACTATTCTAGGGACTGGGATTCTAGCAATAAACAGAACAAAAATCTATGGGAATGATAGATACGGCTCTATTAAAAGTATAGTCTCTCAGGTACTATATTAAGCCAGCAAAAGCTTTTCAAACAACATAAGCAAACCTTGGGAGTATTTGGCCTTTGTGGGAGAATAAGTTGGTATAGCCATGGGAAGGATGAGCACGGTGCACTTTACTGCTCATTTGTTTAATAATAGTGAAGCAATTTATTTAAAGATTCGGAGTAAGAAAGTAAATTAGTACATACTTTTAAAATAATTTCAAAATCATTTTTATAGGGGTACCCGGCTGGCTCAGTAGGAAGAGAATGTGACTCTTGATCTCAGAGTTGTGAGTTTGAGCCCCACGCTGGGTTTAGAGGTTACTTTAAAAAAAATTAAAAAATATTTTAAAAATAATTTTTATAATTAAAAATAGGAATATATTTGTCATGGAGTAGAAAGAAAACTTTATGAGTCTTTAAAGGTAAAATAGTTTTTAAAGAAATTTCCAACACTTGTCCCCAGTCATTTTTCCCTTGGTATTCAATCCCCTGTACCTCAGTGGAAGAACTTGAGAAGCTTCAACAGGCTATTTAAAACCAACTCTCAGGGAGTGAGAAGTGTGGTAACGAGAAGAACATTCTTTTGAGTGTTTTCAGTTTTGGGAGATTACAAATAAAGCCACTATAAACATTTGTTCTCCAAAGTGTCTGTCCATCTGCATTTCTACCAGCAATGCATGAAAGTTGTGTTTGCTTAGCATCTTCACCTTTACCAACACTTGTATATCAGTCTCCCCCCTCCCCATCCTAATTACTGTGTGGTGGTATCTCACTGTGGTTTTGATTTGCATTTCTCTAATGATCAAAGATGTGGAACGTCTTTTCATGTGGCTTATTTGCCATTTGTCTATCTTTTTTTGGTGAAATGTCTGCTCTAACCTTTTGCCCATTTTTTCATTGCTCCTCCCCATAGTTGTTTTAAAAGTTCCTTATAATACTCTGAATAAAAACTCTTTTGAAATGTATGTTTTGCTTTAAGAAAAAAAAAAAAAAGCCCAGCTGTCAATTACATTCGAGTGTGTATTCAAATGACTGTGAAGCACTTTCATGGCACACTTTGTCTCTTTATAAGCGATTTATATGAATTTGCAATGTGATCTTTCTGGGGAATTACGTTTTTCTCTGTCTCTAAAATGAGGGGTATTTAGTGTAGTGTCAAAGTCTAAAATATCTGCTTTCAAGCTCTAAATAAGTATTCTGTATAAAAAGCCTAATAAAGAGGAGAAACTCTGCTTCCTGTTAGAATATAAATAAGTAGAGTAATGTATGACCCAGGAGTAAATCAGAAATCAGTTTTCAAATGACATTACTTTCTCAATTAGGTTAAAAAAAAAAAAAAAAGTGAACGAGCAACACAATAAGGAATGAAATAAAAGGTGTTTCACCTTCCCAGAACCTATATCTTGAGAAAAAGGAACTATAAAAAAGCGTTTTAAGTTTTGAAACTAGTGCATGCAAACCCCTCTTCAATTCACATTTGCACCTGCATCTCTGATTTGCAAAAATTGACGCGTAAAACTTCAAAATAGCAAAATATAAGTTTGTTATAATATTAACATGTGGTTTAGTGCTCTATGCAGTAGAGCATGTTACCTTGCAAATTTGGATTCTTTACCATTTCTAATTGTTACTGTAAACTACTTCAATGTTCTTTGATCCCAGCAGTTCGCAGTTTCACACTTGAAGCTTCTAGAGTAGTTACAACTACTGGAAGCTCCTTCCGTGCAATTCTCCCTTCCTCTCGTCTCTCCTGCGAAGGAAGGTCACCTTCTACAGTTGACTACCATACTGATTCATCTAGGCAAAATTTCTAGTCCGCTCCTGTCTTCGTACATTGTTCTCCTGCATCAGGGTTCAATTATTTCCCGTAGATGGAGCCCAGGGATGATCAGACCGACACTTGGGCTTATTCCCTTTTTCTGTGCCAAACACGACTCTAGCTAAAAACTTTTTTCACCTGTCAGTCCCGCTCATTCTTGATATTCGGTTTCCTACCACAGTCTTCGCCTATTGCAGTAGCTCTGATGTCTGGGCAAAATAAAGCTCACATTTTTTCTTAAACAATAACGGCCGCGCAAATTTTATGGTTAGATTTGTCCCAAGACCGAAGACCGCGCCTCCTAACTAATGAGGCGGGATACACACGAGGAATTAGGAGTGGAGGAGCGGTAGCTGAAAGGAAGCTGCGGGTACGCGCCTCGGCGCAGCCGCCCAACCCCCAAAGACCGTGTCCGCGAACCCCGGGAAGTTTGGACTCGCGCCGCAGCTTCCGGACCCGCCTCTAGGCGACCACCGGGACTCGCTTTCCCAGCAGGCCCCGCGCGGTGCGGCGCTCGGCGCGCTCCGGGTCCTGTCAAGGCAGTACCCGCGAGCCAGCCCTGCGGCCCCACCCCCTGACTCCTAGCTCCTTCCCCGACTCCCGCAAGTTCCAGTCCCGACTTCCAGCTCCCCAGCCCCGCCCATAGTCGCGCGCGCTCTCCCCGCCCCGCCCTCGTCCCCCCGCGTGCGGCCGCTACAGCCAATGAGGTTCGGGGCCGCGTGCGCAGATTCAAACGGCGGCTCTTGAGGGAGGCTGGGCGCGAGATTCGGCGGTGCGGACAAAACCCTGCAGGAGGCTGCGAGCCCTGCAGAGCTGCTCGCTGCGGGGTGAGGGCGGGGGTAGGCGCCCGCCGCAGAGCTGAGTTGGGACCACTGCGTAGAGGCTGAGAGGCGGCGGGAGGGGCCGGCGGAGGGCGGGAGCGCGCCTGCTGACATGTTGGGGGCATCCCTGACTGGGCCGGGCCGGGGCTAGGAGCTGCACTGCGAGCCGGGGGCGGGTCGCGGTCCGCCCCTCCGTCCTACCCTGCCGGGGACGTGCGTTCCACTCTCGGTCGCCTCGGAGAGGGAGCGAGGGGAGCGGCTGGAGGGTCGGGGACAAGGAACATTCGCTTGAGGCTGGAGGAGGCTGAACTGCGTCCCCGCCCAGCCCGCGCCTATGCGGTACTTGAAGGATGGCGAAGAGGTCGCGCAGGTGGGTGACATCTCTTTCACTTAGGCCTGTTGGCAGTGTCTCGGCTCAGATTCTTTCCCCTTTCCCAATGCTTCCCCATCAGGCCCTCCCCAGCTGGGGCCGAGGTTTTCCTTCGCGCTGCCCCGCAGCCCTCTCCGGCCCAGCTGGCCCCATCGCAGCCGTGACATGTGGAGAGTTGGGGACCCCTGTGTTTAAGGCGCAGAAAGTGAGTAACAGAGTAACAAATGCCCAGATTGCTGTAAGGAGTTGATTCTCCCCACAGCTCACGTCCAGACTTCAGCCTCTTACAGTCCCCTCTTGGTCGGAGTTTCTTGCCAGGTAAGTCCGCGCTTTCAGGGAGTACTCCACGCACATAAAAGTACTCATGGACAGCCCCGACGACTCGAAAATGGTGTTCAGAGAGATTCTTTTTTTCTGAATTACGGAATCAGTTAAAGTAGGAACTCTGTGATAAACCTGCGCTGGGACCCCTCTGCCATCTTTGGTGCCTTGACAGGTATGGAAAATCCTCTGAGGGATAGCTGAAGAGAGAGGACCTTTTTGATGTTTTCTGTAATTACCATTCCCTTGTTCTCAGCTTTATGTGTATATTTTTAGTATCTTCTGCTGGGAAGTTGTTACACTGTTACTACCAGTAGCTTGATCTTAAAACAATGTTTGATTCACTGAATATTTTTAGTGCCCGTGTTTGGCTGTGTCCGTAACTAAGTCTTGCCCAGAGAGGTAGGGCATAATATTTGTTGGAGAACTTGCTAGGAGGAATTTACTCATCTAATTTTTATTTACACGTTACTATAGTAGCTACACCTAAATTGTGTGTAGTAACCCCTTAGATGACAAAAAATGAGATTGTCTTTTGTCAGTAGTATTAAATAAACTTGAAAAGCTGTTTGGCAGGATTTCCAAATAGTTTTGTTTATCTAGGTTCACAGCCTTAAAGTCTTAACTAGAGAGGTATTTCCCAAGTTGAAATTTAGTACTAAGATTCATTCACTGCGAATTCCTCTTAAAAATTGGCAATAACTACACATAACATTTGTTGCTTTATTAATTTATTAATCATCTTCTGTATGTAAGGTATTTTTGCAGAAAGCAGCATAAAACAAGTCCTTTTTAGATTTATTTTGTGGCAACTGCAGTATAGGTAAAACTCCTCAGATGTAACAAATACACACGTCCACTCACGTAGACCCACCTCTCTACAACAGGGTTTTCAACATTGTTACTACTGATATAATGGATTAGATAATTCCTTGTAGTGGGGGGCTGCCCTATGCTTTGTAGTATGTTTAACAGCATTCCTGGCCTCTGTCTAGTAGATGCCAATAACATCATTTCCCTGAGTTATGACAATCAAATGTTTCCAGACATTACCAAATGTGTGTTGGGGGGGCGGGGCAGAATCACTCAGGTGAGAATAACTGCTCTAATTAACTTCCTAATCTTCAGAAAAGATAGATATTAAAAGCTCCTATAATTATAATTACTGAGGTACTGATTTAGGCCTTTTCTTGTGCATTTTTAAATATACAGAATTTTTAAAATAACTTCATTAAGCAAAGTGACAAATGACTTTGTCAACCCAAAAACAGAAGTTTGTTTATATTCATTGTGTGGCATTATCTATCTATCAGTATTGATGTTAATCTTATTTGAAAGAATGTCTTACCTAATGCGATCATCATCATTTAGTTATGATTAGACATGGATGCTTGAATGTCAGAACCCTTTCCTCCAATTGATTTTTTCTGCTCATTTCATAGTTTTTGATTGCTTCATAATAATAGACTAAGAAAGGAGAAGTGATTTAATGACGAATTTGCCTGTGTACGTTATTTTCTTTTATTCACAATACTGTGAGCATTGAGGTCTAAATATTAATTGTACTGTTCACTTTTGTTCCTTGTCAGCTGTATGAATTAAAATGTACTATATAATGATTTAAAAGGCTGGAGTAATTAAATGCTGTGGGGGTGAAACAATGCTCCAAATAGAGGTAGAGGATGTGGTGAGAAATTATCATCTCTAAATGCTGTATTACGTAGGGTCTCTACACTTAAATGTGTTTCAGGCTCTAAATTATATTTCTTGTATATGAAAATATGTCTTATTTATCTTAGAATATAATAGAATGTGAACTGTTTTGAGGGTGAAGTTATTGGGCAAAGTTTGGTCTCATGCCTATTGACTAAATGTCTTAATAATAAATATGAACCTAATTTATAGTTGAGAAAGGAAATAATTTAGTCAATTTAAGATCTCTAAAACTAAGTATTTGAATGAAACTATAGTTTGCTGTATAAAAGTTTTGCATAAGACTATGAGCATAAATCCTGTAATATACTTTTTTCTATATGATATGGAAAAAAAAAAGTAAAAAAACCCTGATACTTCAGGTTGAAACAACTGGAGGATGTTGGCTCTTTTGATTTTTAAGATAGCTGTAGTATCTCTGACCTAGATTTACATAAAGGAAAAGGCTCATTTAGTGTTGTGACTTTAAATAGTTTAAGATCTCACTGGGGGTTTTAATGATATAATTTACAGGTAGTATCAAAATTGGTATATGTTATTAACGTGTATTTGATCTTTAAGCATATTTATGTATTGAGTAATTAATTTTAGTTTTTAAAAGCTAGATCTGCCCTTAAAAATAAACTTTGAAAAATGTCATTTAGAAACTAGAAGACCTGTTTTAAGTTGTAACAGATTCAGGTATTTACACTTGGTAACTGGTGACTGCACTAAATTGGAAAGCTAAAAGCCAGCTTTTTCATTGGAAAATGTTTTTCAGTGGGTTATATGTGTGTATGGGAAGCAATTTTACTATGTTTCCAGCAAAATGAGCGTTACGGGTGAAAGAATACTGAAAATGAGAACTGATTTTTTAAATCAGCTTTGTCATTAACTAGCAACATTGTTTTGGAAAAGCAAGTAAATTCTATATCCCAGTTTTTAAGTCTGTTAATCTAGGCATTTGGATTTTAGAATCTGTAAATTAATGTCTAGATTTAATATCTATTTCCCGTTTTGAACCTTTTTGTAATCATCTTTGCTCATTTAAATATATATATACAAATGGAATGAAATAGAAAAATTCAGTGATCGTTTTTGTTTATGAGTAGGTAGGTAGAATTCCTTAAGTATTTATTTCAGTATTGCTATTCATACTGGTCAAATGAAGTCAAATTTGTCTTACTATAATTTTGCTAGTTTGCAGTCCAGGTTTGGAAATAAAATATTCATGTATGCAGTACATAATATTAACCACCGGGTGGCCTGATTTCACTTTTTTAAATCAACCTGGTAAATTTTCATACCTTGATTTCGAATGGACTTAAAAAAAAATAGAATTGCCCTATCAAAACAGGTAAAATTAAAGATGTAATTTTGGATTTTGATAAAAATTTCAGATTTGATGTAGTTTCTGAGTTAAAATATGATCAAGTTAAAATGATTATTAGAGCAGATTTGATAGAACTATTGATATGTCTTTAATTTTGAACCAGTGATTCTTTTCAAATAAAAGTAAATTAAAAAAAATTCTCAAATTTTTCCTTTCAGTACCCCATTTTACTCTTTTTACATGGAATCATTAGTATCCTTTAAAATTGAATTTCTTAAATGTTTTATCTTAATATAGTCAAGTATGAATTATTTGTGTATTATTTCACAGGGTAAATTATGACTGTAATATCCTATTAGCTTTCACCCAGTGTAAAGTTTCTCTTAACCATTTTCCTGGCCTAATGAGTCATAGTATTTATGTGTGTGTGTGTGTGTGTGTGTGTGTGTGTGTGTGCGCGCGCGCGTGCGCGCGCTTGCTTCATTTTGCTGTTTCATAATCACCCTAATCACTTTGTTCATTCATAACCTTTAAAAAAAAACCTTTTCATTTGAATGTAGTGCTTAGTTTATATATTATACAGTTATATAATAAATATTTTCTTTGACTTAACTAAAACTGGCAGAGTAATTCTAGTAACCAAGTCCTGAATGAAGATTCAGAAACCAAATTCCTTTCTATTTTTGCTTTGTGACTAGCGAAATAATTTCACCTAACTATGCTGTCTTCTAGATCAGTCATCCTAGATTAAAAATCACTTATTTATTTAGTAAGGAGTTGATTTTAGTTATTATATATTATCATCACTGATTGCTACAATATAAAAATGCTAAAAGATGATATGAAAAAGCAGAAAAAAAGGGCAGATTTGTTTTGATGGTATCTAACCATTATTAAGCAGTGGTGAAAGTGGAATATTGGTGAGCTTACCTGTGGAGTTTTATCCCTTCTCTTTTTTCTTGGCAAATTGTTCACATTCTCAGGCATCTTTCTGTTGCTAAGGATACTGATAATTTTCTAGGATCTTATTCTGTCACACGTATTTCAAAGTTACATCATTCTTTCAACAATTACTTAACCAATATAGAAATAACTTATCCTAAAACTAAGAAGTAGCTAGGTGGATAGACTCCAGGAAAGTCCCAGTGGTAGATGATTCTAAGAATTCTACCTTAATCCTCCCTCATACTCACCCACTCAAAAAACCCAGCTTCCTGAACATTGACTGGGCTGTATAACTCTCTGAAACTGATGACCATGCTGATGCAAAACAGAGAATGAAACCTCATGTAGAAATAGAAATTTCTCACAAATCAAGTATGAGGTTAAAAAATAAAGCTGAATTTTAAAGTTGAACAAGTTTTCAGGAAAATTGCTCCTTAGAAACTAGTCTTTTGGCCAAAGTGACATCTTTGGACTCATATCCTTAACTTAAAATAATTTCATAAGAATCTACAGTGAATTTTGTACAGATTAGATGTGATGTAGATATTTTTTTGAACACTCAAGATTTATATAGGTAAGTCCCCAAATTAAACATTGTTTTGAACTAGAAATAACCTAATTTTTAAAAAAAGATTTTATTTATTTATTTGACAGAGATAGATCACAAGTAGGCAGAGAGGCAGACAGAGAGAGGGAAGCAGGCTCCCTGCTGAGCAGAGACCCTGATGCGGGGCTCGATCTCAGGACAGGGATGATGACCTGAGCCGAAGGCAGAGGCTTAACCCACTGAGCCACCCAGGTGCCCCATAATAACCTAATTTTTAAAAGCAGTCTCAACTATGCTGTGAAAGTTGTTGGGATTGAGGGGAGGGAATAAGAAGGGAACTTGTGAAAACCACAACTGAGGGCTGTTTGGGATGGCAGAAAGTGGTAATATTGCTGGGGACTGTTCTAGGAAAAGCTAGGCAATATTAGTAGACACACCAAAGAACCCCTTCTGTACTGAATATTTTGTTTGTTTGTTTCAGCACGTTATGCTTCTTAAAATTCTACCATTTGGAGGTGCATTTGGATTTTGAAAGTCCTTTTTAATAAATGAGAATGTTTTTCTTTCCCCTTCTCCTAGAGGTATTTTCATTTGTTAAAAAAATGTTTTCTCTCATATCCACTTGAGAACAGCTGTATTGAGGGAGGTGGACATTTCATTGGGTTGGAAGAGAGGGTAATATTTTGGAATACAGAGTACTTGGAGGAGGTAATAAAAGAGTAAGGAAGATAATTCACTGATCATTAATTTTACAAATATTATAGGTACTGTGCTTGGTGCTGAAAGATGAATGTATCAGATATGTTCTTTGCATTCCTGAACTTACTATTTGGTTGGGAAGGTTGGCATGTGTGATGAGCATTAAAAGGGAATGATAGATGCCATGAGTACATACAGATTGGACAGGAAGCCTCAATAAGGTGTTTTTTCTGATTTGGTAGCCTTCTTAGAAATTTATTAAGTTGTTGTAGCAACATGGACAGGACTGGAAGAGATTATGCTGAGTGAATACAATGAATACTGTTACACTGAAAAGAAATTAAAAAAAAAAAAGATGTATTAAGTTGGGGCGCCTGTGTGGCTCAGTCAGTTAAACATCTGCCTTTGGGTCAGGTCATGATTCCAGGGTCCTGAGATTGAGCCCCAAGTCAGACTCCCTGCTCAGTGGAAAGCCTGCTGCTCCCTCTTCTTCTTCCTGACACTCTGCTTACTTCTGCTTGCTCGCTGTCAAGGAAATAAATAAAATCTTTAAAAAAAGGAAATGAGAAATTTATTAAGTCATTGGATCATGAACCATCTCCATTTTAACTATTTAATCTTGGCTAATCGGATGGATATTTCTGGTAGCTGAAGATGGCAGCAAATTACAGGTGTTTATTTAAACTTGTGTCTTTATTTCCAGATTAGTTCAACAAAACAAGCATAGGACTGGCAGATTATTGTTTTAGGGAGAGAGCATTGGAATGTTAAAACTGAAGCAGATAGATAGTTTATATAGGTAGGGGAGTTGGGGATCTTTGTGTCTTGCTTGGTTGGATATGAAGAACTTTGGCCCTGGGGGATGCCAGGCTGGCTCAGTTGGTAGAACATGTGACTCTTGATCTCAGGGTCACGAGTTCAACCCCCACATTGTGCATGGAGCCTTCTTAAAAAAAAAAAAAAAAATTTGGTCCTATAGAATTGACAAATCAAAGGAAATCAGAAGTTCCTGTAAAGGATCTATAGAGAGTATTAAATCTAGACCTTCATTTTTCAGTTTTGTAAGACACTATATGTAGATATTGGGAACTATCCACATGTTCTAAATATATTACATTAGAGGTTAATCATCAAACTTGAGCAGTTTGAAATCAGAGCATATTTTTAGAAAAGAGTTGGATATAATAAAGCAGAAATAATCTTGAATGTTGGACAGTCAGCCTATGCACATAATACTAATATTGAGCTACCTCTTTGTGCTATGTGCTATATGAGGTGTTTTATATGTTTTTTCATTTAATTTTATCCTTAAAGATGCACTATAAGGTAGGTAGTATTAATATATTATCCTTATTTCACAAACAGGTAAACTAAAGCCCTAAGAGGTTGATATGTACAGGGATGCAAAATAAGTAAAGTTATAACTAAATCTTGTTCTGATTTCAAAATGTACTTCAGGTTTATCTTTGGTATCTTCCAGCTTCTTGGTATCCTCTTCCCTATTTCTCTAGTACGTGGCAGTATACTGGTTAAATAGTGCATTTTGGAGTTCAGTCATGATACATTTGGTATAACTGTGGGCAAGAAGTTACTTTTCTAAGTCAAAGTCTTCCTTTTCTATAAAGTGGGAATAGTAATATTTCCCTCTTGGGGTTGTTGTGGGGTTTTAAGACAGAAATTTCAGAGACTACCTAATGTCTGGTACTTAGAAAGTTTAAATAAATTAGCTCTTATTATTTTCAGATGCTCATGACTGTCTTCAATCTAACTATTCAAAATCCTCTATTCCAGCTTATCATAAAGATCTGCCCTCTTTTTTGGGGTTTCATGTTCTCATGGCTTTAACTGTTTTCTGTATGCTGGTGATTGCCAAAACTGTGTGTCTATCCGAGGCCTCTTACCTGAGCAGAAGATCCATGTGCCCATTTGCCTTCCTAGATCTGCTCTGCCCAACAGAATAGCCATTCCCCCTCATAGCACATGCTGCTATTGAGCTATTGAAATGTGGTTAGTCTGAATTACAATGTACTCTAACTATAAAATACACACTAGATTTTTTGAGACTTTAGTGAGTAAAAAAAGAAATGTAAACTAGTTCATGATTATGTTGAGTATGTGTTGAAGTGGTAATTTTTTAATATATTGGGTTAAATAATTAACATTATTTTGACCTGTTTCTATTTTTAAAATGTGGCTACCAGGAAATTAGATATGTGACTGTGTTATATTTCTTTTTTAAAATTTTTTAAATTTTTAATTAACATATAATATTATTTGCTTCAGGGGTACAGGTCTGTGAATTGTCAGTCGTGCACAATTCACAGTACTTTCAATAGCACATACCCTCCCCAATGTCCATATCTGTTATATTTCTATTGGACAGTGCTGTTGAAGATGTATTCACTTGTATATTCCTCAAGTGCCTTGAAATCAGCTAGTCCAAAACTGCCTACCCTTCCCATTCTCTTCTCCCTTTCAAAGTTCTGTTTTTCCTTCTATTCTTTTTTTTTTTTAAGTTTTATTTATTTATTTGACAGAAAGAAAGAGAGCACAGCAGGGGGAGCAGCAAAAAGAGGGAGAGGGAGAAGCAGGCTCCCTGCTGAGTAAGGAGCCCGATGCAGGGCTGATCCCAGGATCCTGGAATCATGACCTGAGCCAAAGGCAGATGCTTAACTGACTGAGCCACCCAGGCACCCCTTCCTTCTATTCTTTGTCTCAGGGGATAGCTCTGTTTATGCTCACAAAATCAGAAGTTTTGGAGGTATCCTTACTCCTTGCAAAATCCTCTTGTTTCCACCTTTCTTTCTTTCTTTTTTTTTTTAACGTCCTAATTTTATTTTACTTTTTTCAGTGTTCCAAGATTCATTGTTTATGCACCATACCCAGTGCTCCATGCAATACGTGCCCTCCTTAATACCCACCACCAGGGTCACCCATCCTCCCACCCCCTCCTTTCTAGAACCCTCAGTTTGTTTCTCGGAGTCCACAGTCTCTCATGGTTCGTCTCCCCCTCTGATTTCTCCCAACTCACTTCTCCTCTCCAACTCCCAGTGTCCTCCATGTTATTCCTTATGCTCCACAGGTAAGTGAAACCATATGATAATTGACTTTCTCTGCTTGACTTACTTCACTCAGTATAATCTCCTCCATGTTGATACAAAGGTTGGGTATTCATCCTGTCTGATGGCTGTAATATACCATTGTATATATGGACCACATCTTTTTTTTTTTTTTTTAAAGATTTTATTTATTTATTTGACAGAGAGATCACAAGTAGGCAGAGAGGCAGGCAGAGTTTGAGAGAGGAGGAAGCAGGCTCCCTGCTGAGCAGAGAGCACCATGCGGGGCTCGATCCCAGAACCCTGGGATCATGATCTGAGCCGAAGGCAGAGGCTTTAACCCACTGAGCCACCCAGGCGCCCCTGGACCACATCTTCTTTATCCATTCATCTGTAGAAGGGCATCTCAGCTCTTTCCACAGTTTGGCGATTGTGGACATTGCTGCTACGAACATGGGGTACCTATGGCCCTTCTTTTCACTATATCTGTATCTTTGGGGTAAATACCCAGTAGTGCAATTGCAGGGTCATAAGGTAGCTCAATTTTAATTTTTTGAGGAATCTCCACACTGTTTTCCAAAGTTGCTGCTCCAACTTGAATTCCCACCAACAATGTTAGAGGATTCCCCTTTCTCCACATCCTCTCCAATACTTGTTGTTTCTTGTCCTGTTGATTTTTGCCATTCTAACTGGTGTAAGGTGGAATCTCAATGTGGTTTTGATTTGAATTTCCCTGATGGCTAGTGATGATGAACATTTTTTCATGTGTCTATTAGCCATTTGTATGTTTTCTTTGAAGAAGTGTCTGTTCATTTCTTCTGCGTATTTTTTGACATAATTATCTGTTTTTTGGGCATGGAGTTTGAGGAGTTCTTTATAGATCATTTCTTCCATTGTTTGTTTTAACTAGATGTGATTTTGTTTTGTATTTTACCCTTAACATTGTCAGGCTCTAATAATTTCTTACTTGGGTTATTGTAAAAGATTAGTAATTGGTCTTCCTTCCTCCATTTCTCCACATTCCTGCCAGTGATTTTTCTGAAACATGAGATATTTGTCTTTCTCTTACTTGAAGTCCTTTAACTCTTTAGGATAAAGGTCAAATAAAGAATAAAAGCCAAACTCTTTAGCATACATAGAGGTTATCAATTGACCCCTGGTGGCTTATCATTTCTCTGGTGTCAGTAAGAACTATAGCTATTACCAATTGAATGACTCTTAATTTTTTATATTTTCAATAATCTAATTTGATGTATGTCTGTCAGTCTGAGTGGCTGCTTCAGTCATACCTGTATACACAGTTTCAAAGATTGAATTCACAAGTTTACGTTTAATTCTTGATTTCACAATTGTGGCTTTTAATTTATATTTTTTAGCGAGGATGAGGATGATGACCTTCAGTATGCTGATCATGATTATGAAGTACCACAACAAAAAGGATTGAAGAAACTCTGGAACAGAGTAAAATGGACAAGAGATGAGGTAATTATGTGATAACGCTTACTAATTTCATACTTGTATTTACTTGTTAATAATAATATTTAATAAAGATAGAAACATACTGAAAAGCAAAACATGAGAAAAGTTATTCATCAACAAATGTGCACCTATTTTTCTTCCACCAGGGGTGTGAATAGCAGTTTGATGTTGAGACTGACAGAAAGAGTAGAGTAAATGGGAAAGCTTGTATTATAGTGGCTTGTCCTTCTACAGATGGCTGTCAGATATGACATGAAAGAATTAGAGAGTTATTGGTGGGGGAAGAAAGCTTTCTAATTTTCATTCCTGTTTTAATAGGATGATAAGTTAAAGAAGTTGGTTGAACAACATGGAACTGATGATTGGACTCTAATTGCTAGTCATCTTCAAGTAAGTCAACTATTATATTTATAACATGGATGATATAGGTCATTGGATTAAATTTGCTCTTTTTCAGAAATGTGTCTTTATTATTTTAGACTTAGGTTTCCTTGCTAAAAACATCTCTGTTGTTCTGATCTTCCTATAGTGTGGCCAAAGATCAGAAAATCTGATTTTCTAATAATTAGTTTATATAGGGGCCTAAAAAGATTACTAATCTAAAATGAAAATGATGCTAAGTTTGGTTAGGGCTTTATAAATATTTGTTGATAAACGTTAAAACATTTAAAAGAAGTTAAATACATTGAAATCTTTTGGCAGCTGATCAATAAAATCAGAAAAAGATCTTTTGAAAAGTTTGTTATCTAATGTTTGCATTTTAAGGTGTTATTGATTTTTAAAAGAATTATACTTAATTGTTCATCATACTATTCACATACTATTCATTAGTATGTAATTTTATAATTTACAAAGTGTTTTCACATACATTCCTTTTGTTCCTTACTACATTAAAGGCAAAATATTCATATTTGAATTTCTGTTTTGACTACCGTGGGTTTCAGAAACCAGGTCACCCATGTTCTTTCTAAATTCTTATGATGCTTTTCAACATAACTTGAAAATTGAGAACAGATAATGAAAAGAGCATAATTCTTGTTGTCAGTCTAAACTATATTTAAGTGTCAGCTCCATTAGCTGTTTGGTCTTAGAAAAATTATTTAACCTCTTTGATTTTCAGCTTCTTTATCTATAATATGGAAATAATAGTACTGTTTTTGTAGTATTGTTGTGAGAATTAGAAATAACATATATAGGATTTTGGCACATTCCCTGCCATTTAGCAGGTGTTCAGTAAATGCAAACTAAATTAGAAGTTATTTGTATTAGTTTTATTAGTTTATCTTCAGTGATATAGCAGCAAATGAAGGAAACAGAGAAATGCTACAGGACATGCAGAAACTGCCTGATTATTTTGAAGAAAATGATAGCCTTAAAGTGGATCAGCATTGATGTTTAGAAGCCATAAATGAAGAAAAACAGCTTAAATAAACATAATTTGAGATCCACTAGGCACAGAGACAGCCACTGGTAATCAACATTATCCAGAATCCTGTATATGAACTAGTATTTTTGTAAACTCTGAATCAGTCATGAAGTTAAATGTTTTGTTATTATTATTATTATTATATGTAAGAGTTACTAGGTCATGAATTGACTACTTCATTTGTTAATGATTTTTGGAATTTGGAATGTTTCCACATAAGGCTTTTTCATCCTGGTAAATTCATTTTCCTTTTAAGCCTCAACATTTAAATAATTGAACTGATATGTTACATAATCTTTCATATAGCTATATTGTTTTTTCTTGAAAACTTGGAGGTCATCTTTTATAAAAATCCTTAAAATACCATGCAGTGGCCTAGTAATGCCTTTAGGGGTTTTTAAATTGTAAAAAGTTAGGTTTAAGTACTGCTGTACTGTATCAATTCAGATTGCTATGCTCTTTGAGTTCATAAGGTCTGCTTTGTATAGTTTTCTGTCTACTCTCTTTTATTCCTCAATATTGGATACATTTCTTTATGGTAACATCTGTGTTAAATAACTTTGCATTTTGCTATGTTATAAGGCACACTGTAGAGATACATACTTATAAATTAAAATAATATATATAGTCTAAGCTCTGCCAAAGGCTCTAATTTAAAAATGAATCAAGACACAGGCATGTAAGATAAATATTACAATTTAAGCTTTTTTTTTTTTTTTTTTTAATTTGAGAGTGAGAGCATGTATGAGTTTGGGGAGGGTCAAAGGGAGAGGGAGAAGCAGACTGCTTGCTAAGCAGGTAGCCCTAGGACAGGGGCCGCTTCCAGGACTCTGAGATCATGACCTGAGCTGAAGACAGACGCTTAACTGACTAATCCACCCAGGTGCCCTGAGAAATACTATAGTTCAAATAATTTTTTTTTTTTAAGATTTTATTTCTTTATTTGAGAGAGAGCACAGAGGGAGAGTGCACCCAGGTAATGACACTCGGCCAAATGTACCACAGGGACATGAGGGCCTGGGAGGGGTCTGTAGTGAGTGAGTCCAGAATAAGAGGCCAGCAGAGGGGTGAAGGGGGAAGGAGCTCCAGAGGGATTCCAAAATCCACTTCTGACATGTTTGCTCTTGGCCAACCTACTTGAATCCACCTTCTGACCTAACCCAACATTTCTTTTCTTTTTTTTTTTTTTTTTAATAAAGATTTTATTTATTTATTTGAAAGAGAGTGAGAGGGACAGCAAGCAGGGGAACAGGCAAAGGGAAAGGGAGAAGCAGAAGCAGGCTCCCCACTGAGCAGGGAGCCCAATGTGGGTCTTGATGCCAGGATGCTGGGATCATGACCTGAACCAAAGGCAGATGTTTAACTGACTGAGTCACCCAGGGACCCCCAGTTTACAGAATATTATTGAATACATTATTCTTGAAGACTTTCTTCTTGAATTTAGGCTGACTTGCTTTCTGGAAGACAGTTGTTCAATAACAAAATCATCAATTCTTTCAGAATCGTTCAGATTTTCAGTGCCAGCATCGATGGCAGAAAGTTTTAAATCCAGAATTGATAAAGGGTCCCTGGACTAAAGAAGAAGATCAGAGGGTAATGTGTTCATATTCTTTATTCTGACTGTGTAGGTGGACTGGCTTTTTTTTTCTTCCTAATACATTGTTTTGTCACAAAGAATATGTTTAAGTCACGTTGATTTTGTTCTTTGGGTGCTGCTTGTAGAAGAATTGAAAGTTGAGTGTCTTGAAATATAGTTTTTCTGAATCACGTCAAAGCAAGTATAATATATATAGCTTTTTCTTTCTAAGAGTTTGGTTTACAGAAGGAAAAATGCCGTCAGCTTACTCTTATTTAGAGCTTAAGTTAGCAACATTTAGGGTGTAGCTTCTTGTTGAAAATAGAGTCAACATTTTCGAAACAATTTTTTATTTTTATTTTATCTGATAACATGATATGTAAGAAAGTCATTCTTAACTATCCCTCTTGACCTATAATGAGCCCCCAAATAAGAGAGAGAGCAGAGCATCGTGTTTCTAAAGAGTTGGATGACTTAAAAAACTAAGGTAATTCCTTGTCTTATAAAAGTCTGAGAAGAATAGGGATGTTGCTGCCCTCCTCTAGGAATTGACCTTTAGTTCATGTTCTTTATTGCAGAAACATTAATGTAGTCGGGGAATTAGGGCATGTTTCCTACCCTGCCCCCACAACAACAAAAACAACAACAAAATTCACCAGGCTCAGAACTGATCTGGTTTAATTGATGGCCAGTGATAGGTTTTACAATGTGTGATCTGTATCCTTTTAGTGTGAGAAAGGAAGAAATGAAGATGGTAAATTTCTAGATCCTTCTTTCTTCCAAACTGATTTATTTGGCTTTCAGCTGAAGCTTTTTAAAAAAAAGATACAAAAGTAGAAAATCTATAAGTCTCAGCATCTTTACTGTTGTCTTAAGTTAATTTTCAATGAAAACAATTTAACTTACAACTTGCTTTAATTAGCACCTTATATTTTAGATAAGTTTGTATTTCTGTACTTGGCAAATGATGAATGAGTATTAGAAAACTTGTGGTTTGGATTTAATGCATTAAAAATAGTATTCTTGAGTTACGTTTTAAAATTCTGTCAAGGTAATAATTTTTTTAATTGAGGTATCATTGACATATAACACTATATTAGTTTCAAGTGTACCACATCATGATTTGCTATTTGTATTTATTGCTAAATGATCACAACGATGAGTCTGGTTATCTGTCACCATATATAGCTGCAAAAAATTTTTTCTTGTGATGAGAATTTTTAAGATCTCTTTAGCAGCTTTCAGATGTGCATTACGATATTGTTAACTATAGTCCCCACACTGTACATTACATCCCCACGAGTTATTTATTTTTTAAAAAGATAATGGTTTTTTAAACTTTGTTTTTCTGTTTCTTAGGTTATTGAATTAGTTCAGAAATATGGGCCAAAAAGATGGTCTTTAATTGCAAAACATTTGAAAGGAAGAATAGGCAAGCAGTGTAGAGAAAGATGGCATAATCATCTGAATCCTGAGGTAAAGAAATCTTCCTGGACAGAAGAGGAGGACAGGATCATCTATGAAGCACATAAGCGGTTGGGAAATCGTTGGGCAGAAATTGCCAAACTACTTCCTGGAAGGTGCTTGTATATGTGTATATACATTTCCCTGTACTTAAACTTGATCTTTATTAAGTTACTATTAAATATGTTTACAAGGATCCCCATGACTTTTATTTATAATTGAAATTTAGACAGGGAATCTTTGCACCTATTTGTAATAAATTCTGTGTAAGGGATAGAATTACATTTTTAATATTTTATAGTAGTAATTTGTGCAGTAAAATAATGGGCCTTTAGATTATGTGAACAGTTAATATACTCCCCAGATTGTTTACATATCATTGCCAGTCAGACAGACCTTTTTTGTACAAACCTGGTTGGAACGGAATCTAAATGGAAGAGATTTCTTTCATATTGTATTCTATGCATAAGACCAGAGAATAGCAGATACATTGGCTGAAATAAGCTATGGCAGTTCATTAGAGAAAATTCAATTCTTAATTATGGTATGATTCAAATCATGGGAGTAGTATATATATCCATGTGGCTAAAATACAAAATTTCCCTAAGGGAAGGTGATATGCCCCTGTATACATTGCACTGGTTCAAATGTTTCCTGATTGTCTGTAGTACAGTAGACCAGCAACCTTAGGAAAATCCATACCTCACTCGAAGGTATGCATTTTTTTTTTTATTGTTGTAGTCTCTGTATGGTACTTCATAAAATGCTTTTACCTATATACTTAATTTTCATATAGTAATGAAATATGCAAAGCAAACAATGCTGTCTTTTTTTGTGAGTAAGGAAATTAAAACATCATATTTTTTTACCAAACCAGGCTTAGGAACTTCTGATGTTTTCAGTCTTTTATATATCTTTTTACTGTCCACTGAAGCTAGCCTTAATATAAAGTGCCTTAACACTTTATGTATGTAATTGATTTTCAGTAAATGTTTGTATATTTTATGGAGGATGGAATTTATACTACAAGTAACTGTAGGTTGAAGGTTTCCACTTTATAAAGGCAAGTTTAGTTAAAAAGGGAACCAGTGAACTCTTTCCAACATAGGTATTGTAGTGAAAAAATATTGGGATTCTCTAATTTGTGGTTTGTTTTTCTTGACCATGTTTGTTCCTGGCTTTTAGGCCTTTGCCCTCTCTATGTCTTTATATGGAATGCTCTTTTTTTCTCCCCTTGTATGGCAGGTTCATTCTTGTCATTCAGTCTTAGCTTCACTGTCACCTCACAGAGGCTTTCCTGGACCACCTATCAAATTACCCTAGTTACTCACTTTTCTTATCCTACTTTAATGATCTGCATTGTGCTGATGTTTTTCTTTGCTTTTTTCCAAGTGAAGTGTTTTGGACATGTAATATTATATTATTTTCAGGTGTACAACATGGTAATTTAACATTTATATACATTTTTAAGTGATCACCAAGCTAAATCTAGCTACCGTCACCATACAAAATTGTTATGTATTATTAATTATATTCCCTATGCTGTACATTGTATCCCCATGTCTTATTTGTTTTATAGCTGGAAGTTTGTACTTTTAATCTCCTTCCCCTATTCCCTGCTCTCCGCTCAACCTCTGCCCACCACCCCCGCCCGCCAGCAGCCACCACCTTGTTTATGTATCCATGAGTCTATTTCTGTTCTGTTCTGTTTGTTTTGTTCTTTAGGTTCTACAGATAAGTGAAATTCTATGGTATATATCTTTATCTGACTTTTAACACTTAGCATAGTACCCTCTAGGTCCCTCCATGTTGTGAATGACAAGATTTCATTTTTTATGCCTGAGTAATATTCCATTGCATGCATACACTACATCTTCTTTTTCTGTTCATCTTTCAGTGGCCACTTGGGTTGATTCCATATCTTGGCTGTAAATAATGCTGCAGTGAACAGCATTGTGCAGATATATGGGTGTGCATATATCTTTGTATTAGTGTTTTCGTTTTTTTCAGATAAATTTCCAGAAATGGAATTACTGGATCATGTGGTAGTTTTACTTTTAATTTTTTGTGGAATCTTCATACTGTTTTCCATGGTGGCTGTATCTTTTTGCATTCCCATCAAGAGTTCATGAGGGTTCTTTTTTTTCCACATCCCTGCCAACACTTGTTTTTTCTTGTCATTTTTGATAGTAGCTATTCTGACCTGCATAAGGTGATAGGTCATTGTGTTTTGTTTTGTTTTGTTTTGTTTTGTTTTGTTTTATTTATTTGACAGAGAGATAGAGAGTACAAGTAGACAGAGTGGCACACAGAGGGAGAGGGAGAAGTAGGCTCTCTGCTGAGCAGGGAGCCTGATGTGGGGCTCAATCCCAGGACCCCTGAGATCATGACGTGAGCCAAAGGCAGCCGCTTAACTGACTGAGCCACCCCGGCGCCCTGGGTCATTGTGGTTTTGATTTGCATTTCCCTGATGATTTGTGAGCATCTTTTTTTAAGTCTATTAGCCATTTGTATGCCTTCTTTGGAGAAATATCTGTTCATGTTCTCTCCCCATTTTTAAATTTTTTTTTATATTGAGTTGTATGAGTTCTTTATGTATTTTGGATGTTAACCCCTATTGGTTATAATATTTGCAAATATCTCCTCTCATTCAGTAGGTTGCCTTTTTGTTTTATGGATGGTTTCCTTCACTGTGTAGAAGCTTTTTATTTTTATTTATTTATTTTAAGATTTTATTTATTTACTTGACAGAAAGAGACCACAAGTAGGCGGAGAGGCAGGCAGAGAGAGAGAGAGAGGAGGAAGCAGGCTCCCTGCTGAGCAGAGAGCCCGATGCAGGGCTCAATCCCAGGACCCTGAGATCATGACCTGAGCCGAAGGCAGAGGCTTAACCCACCGAGCCACCCAGGAGCCCCGTGTAGAAGCTTTTTAGTTTGATGTAGTGCTTTTTGTTTCTGTTGCCCTTGTCTGACAGATTCAAGAAAAAACTATTTAGACCAATGTGCAAGAGCTAACTGCCTGTTTACTTTGAGTAGTTTTGTGGTCTCTGGTCTTATATTTAAGTATTTAATCTATTTTGAGTTTATTTTTGTATATTGTTTATGAAAGTTGTCCAGTTTCATCCTTTCATGTGGTCGTCCTGTTTTCCTAGCACCATTTATTGAAAAGGCTGTTTTTTTCCCCATTGTATGGTCTTGCCTCATTTGTTGAAGATTAGTTGACTGTATAAACATGGGTTTGTTTCTGGACTCTATTCTGTTCCTTTGACTTATGTTTCTGTTTTGTGTCATTACCATACTGTTTTGATTACTATCACTTTGTAGTGTTGTTTGAAATCTGGGAGTGAGATACTTCCAGCTTTGTTCTTCTCTCTAAAGATTGCTTTGGTTAGTAGGGGCCTTTTGTGGTTCTGTAACAAATTTTAGGATTATGTATTCTAGCTCTTTGAAAATGCCATTGGTATTTTGGTAGGGATTGCATTGAATCTGTAGATTATTTTTTGTAGTATGCACATTTTAATAATTCTTTCAGTCTATAAGCGTAGTCTATCTTTCCATTTATTTGTGCCATCTTAAGTTTCTTTCATCAGTGTCTTACAGTTTTCAGAGTACAGATCTTTCACTTCCTTGATCAGTTTTTTCCTAGGTATTATATTCTGTTTGATGCAACTGTGACTGGTATTGTTTTCTTAATTTCTTTTTGATAATTTGTTATTAGTGTATTAGAAACACAACAGATTTCTGTGTACTGATTTTGCATCCTGCAACTTTACTGAATTCACTTATTAGTTCTAATTTTTTTTGGTGGATTCTTTACGTGGGTTTTTTTTTTAATATATATATATATATAGTCATGTCATCAGCAAATAGTGACAGTTTTACTTCTTTTCATATTTGGATGCCTTTTCTTTCTTTTTCTTGTTTGGTTGCCGTGGCTAGGACTTCCAAAACTATGTTGAATGAAAGTGGCAAGAATGGGCATACTTGTCTTGTTCCTTATCTTAGAGGCAGAGCTTTCAGCTTTTCACCATAGACTTTGATGTTAGCTGTGCATTTGTCTTGTATGGCTTTTATTATGTTGAGATATGTTTCCTCTGTTGTACCCACTTTGTTGAGAGTTTTTATTATAAACGGATATTGAATTTTATCACGTACTTTTTCTGCATCTATTGAAATGATATGATTTTTATCCTTTATTTTGTTAATATGGTGTTGATTGATTTTGCAGATATTGAAACATCCTTGTATCCTTAGAATAAATCCCAGTTGGTTATGGTATATGATCTTTTTATGTATTGTTGAATTTAGTTTGCACTGATGTTTTTCTTCTTATTTAAATTTTTGTTTTTCTATTCTTCTGTCCTTCCATGCTGCCACACTTTCAAATGTGAGCCTCATGAGAGCAGGGACTTTGTCATCACTGCTTTATCTCCAGTTTAGAACTGTGCCTGCCTGACAGTTTATATTTGAATTGAGAAAGTATCTAGTTTCATTATTTGTAAAAATTTGTTTTAAGCACTTTGTACACTTTATACAGTGTTAAAATTTATGGAATCCTTTTTTTCCTTTTTAAATTATACATTTTCATTTCTTAGGACTGATAATTCTATCAAAAATCATTGGAATTCTACCATGCGAAGAAAAGTGGAACAGGAGGGCTACTTACAAGATGGAATAAAATCAGAACGATCTTCATCGAAACTTCAACACAAACCTTGTGCGACTATGGACCATTTGCAAACCCAGAATCAGTTTTACATACCTGTTCAGGCACATATTTTTAATACCTTTATTATTTAAAAGATTTCTTTAGTTGTTATTTGGGAGGATGTTTGGTTTCTTAATACAACAGATACAGCATATATTAAGGGGAATAGACAATTAAATTTCCAAACTGCAAAAAAATTGCCATAACTAGCTGTTAAACCATTAGTGGAGGTTCATCTCTACTTTTTTGATTGATAAATATTTTGGAAACAGACTCATTAAAATGTTTCCCTTTTTTGGTAATTTTTATATTATCCAGTTAAGAAACTTAGTATTTACATTTCCTAATGCTACCATCCTTTGAATCTTCATTTATGATTCAAAGCTTATGGTCATCTGTGCTTTAACATCCATTGTAGTTTCCATTTAAAAAATATTTTGTGTAATTGTAGTATTGCTTATCTCTAAGAGGTAAGTGTGTATAAAATGGTTTTAAGGAGAAAATAGTCAAAATCCATTCATCATTTTGGGAGGTATGGTAGATAATTAATTGGTTCTTTGATGGCACTCAACTTTGCTTTTCTCCCTAGTAACCAATCAACTAAGTGATGTCAGTCTTTGTTTAGACAGGTTCATTAGAGTAGAGATTTCCCAAGCTCCTGATAGGGGAAGTGCATTTTCTTCTCTGCAAGAAATTAGTTTAGGAGTTTTCATAAGGTTTGTTTTATATTTTTCTGTCTGCCTATCTGTCATACCATTTTTTGTGTTGAACAGTTCTTGGTTTTTATCACATAAAATGTAAAGATTAAGTCAGGACTTAATAATAGTTTCTACCAAAAGATAAAATTTGTCTGAGTGTTAAAAATCTTGTGGTTAGTATGCACAGATTTGATTTGAATTTACCTCATTAAACTGACTTTATTTTTTGGACATAAGTTTAAAAGAATCCTTTTAAAAAAGTAATGACATCTTAGTTTACAAATAGGAAAACATGTGAAGACAGTATAGTTACCTGCTGATACTCAGTACCTGAAGGTTTTTATTGTCTGTTTCTTTACATTTTTCTTTAGAGTCCTAGATTTCAGCAGCATAAACTGAAACATTCTGCTTCTGTCTTAGAAAGGTTATTTAAATTTATTTTTTAACTCATAGAAACATAGTTTTAAAAATTATTTGGGGTCAAGGGAGTGTTTAACAGTCTCAATCAAAATATGTTGGAAAAGAAGGATATTTCTTGTACTTTAAGAATTGTTTATTGTACTTTTATAATTCTTAAAAAATTTGTGCATTCATAATTCAACTCATTTAAGCTACTAAAAAATCATTCTAATTTTGACTTGAAAGAAAAAAATGGTGTGAAATACTGTCACAGATTTAAATGAAAAGATTGAGAAAAATAAGTTTCTAATTCATTGAAAGTTTAGTGATAACATACAAATCAGGTATTGTGAAAGTTAAGTTCTATATTAGTAGTATTTTATGATTCTGCATCAGATAGTGATTTAGGTAGGCATTATGGAAAATAAACAATTTCTTATTATATTAGATTTTTAGGTTTTAAAAAATATCTTCTCATGCTTCTTTCTACCATTGCACACTAAATTTGCATGCAACCAAAATTCTTACTACAGATGCTTTGGAAAAGAAAGAAAATAATTCTTGGTCTGTTGTCAGAGTATTAAAAAGCACAAGTGATTCTGACTGTTTTTCTAAGACAAGTGATAGAAGAATCCTCTGTTTTCATATCTTTTTACACAGAGATTGGCATGGGGTGGTGATAGGAGTAGGAGGTATGAATATTGAAAAACTTTCTTTAGTCACTGTCTTTGTGAGTGCTTCATATGGACCAAGCCCTTCCTCTGAAAGATAAGAACAATTACTTTGTCGTCTTCCAGAAATAGAGCAATCCTTCTAATAGCACATTAAAAAAATAATTTGGTGGATTTTGTAGATAATAGACTGATTTGCTGATAAATATATGCCAAGTACTTCTTGTATTTCATCCAGGAGAAGATAGGTCTTTCCTAAGAGTTACTTTTCATTAATAGATTCTAAGAACAAAGATGTAGTTATTAGAAACTATTATATAAATGAATTTTCAAAGTTAACAGAGATACTTTATGAGTTTTTAATGCTGTTATTTTGTCAGGAGTTTTCATGCTTTACCTTAGATTTTAAAAAATTATATAGTGCTATATGTATGATACTAATATTTTAAATACTTTTTAGATCCCAGGCTATCAGTATGTGTCACCTGAAGGCAATTGTGTAGAACATGTTCAGACTTCTGCGTTTATTCAGGTAACTTTTTATTTATAACCAAAAAAAAAAGGAAACACTTTCCAACATATATTTGAAAGTCTAATAGTCTTATTTCCTCATTCATAAAACTAGGACAAAAACAATACTATCTGTTCTGCTTATTTTGAATATTCTATCGCTAAAGGAGAAAGTTTATAAATGGGTTTGAGAAATATAAATGTACAAATGTTAGGTGGTTGACAACACCAGTAGGGTGGTCCTTTCATTTTTCCAGTGTAAAGCATTCAGGTTGTATTTTTCTTAAATTAGATAAATTGTGCATACATGTGATTTAATAAAACAGACTCCAGACATTAATTTCTAAATTAATATAGATGATACAGTATACTTTTTTTTTCATGCATTTGAATTTCCTAATTCTGGGAGCATCTGGCTAGCTTAGTCGGTAGAGTATGTGGCTCTTGATCTTGGGCTCATGAGTTTGAACCCCATGTTGAGGGTAGAGATTACTTAAAAAAATAATAATAATAAAATAAATTTCCCAAATCTTTTCTGTTAAGTTGAAAATATTTAGATACCAGAGAGATTGTGATATTGAGCATTTGGTATTTAGTTGTATTAACCTTTATTAGAGAAAATAGATTTTATGTTGCATGGAAGATAAAAATTAGAGCAGTAATAATAATAATAATAATAATAAAACAGTTGTTTAAGTAGAATGTCTTTCTCTTTTATTTAACTTATTTTAGCCACCCTTCATTGATGAAGATCCTGATAAGGAAAAAAAAATAAAGGAACTTGAGTTGCTTCTTATGTCAGCTGAGAATGAAGTTAGAAGAAAGCGAGTTTCATCGGTAAGAAATAAGCTTAAGTGTTTAGATTTTGTTAGAATCCTTTATGTGCTTTTATAGTTTTCATTAGCATTGACTTTCATGTACTAATATACTATTCAGTATGACTTCAGATTTTAATGTGGATGAAAAACAGTTTTTCTATTTTGCAGTGTTGAGATTGCCCGATTTTGATATACAACACTTTAAACATATTTTACAGTGTTCTGTATTAAGATGCTTCTTGAGTTGTAAATGTCAAGCAGACTTAAAGTATGATCTTCAATATGTATATATATATTTGTGAAAATGATGGGTGGTTTAGAATAGACTTTGCTTTTATTATGATTTTTGGCTCTTTTTATTTTAGACATTCCTGGTAATGATAGTTTTAATGGAAAAAAATGTTTGAAAAATAAAGAATTTAATAGATGTGTAGAGGTTTATGTGCTTCTAAATTGCTTTTATTCTGCTTTGAGCATTTTTTCCTATTTGCTATATTATGAATACAAATTTGGTAAATTGGAAAAAAAATAACTTAAGAAATTATAGGGAAAGGGCGCATTTAAATTTTATGTTTTTTTTTTTTTAAAGATTTTATTTATTTATTTGACAGAGATCACAGGTAGGCAGAGAGGCAGGCAGAGAGAGAAGAAGGGAAGCAGGCTCCCTGCTGAGCAGATAGCCCTATGCAGGGCTGGATCCCAGGACCCTGGGATCATGACCTGAGCCAAAGGAAGAGGCTTTAACCCACTGAGCCACCCAGCACTCCTCTTTAAAGAAATTTTTATATGAATATTGGTTGATGGGAATAATTAAGAGTATTAAATTAGGATAAATGGTATTCATTCTAGCTAAGTTAGGCTATGTTAGATGAATTAAAAGAAAGGAAGTTTATACTTAAATGACAATTTTAAGTTTATGCATTTAGGAAAAGGTTATTCTTGGTTTGGGAGTTAATGAGGGGACTGTCCATTCACAGTGACTGGGAACTAATGCAGAATTACTAAATAGAATAACTGAGTTCTTGAAGTAGTGTTATGAGGCAACTGGTGATGACTTTATACCATTTAAAAGTGTTAATAAAAACATTTGTTAACTGTAACAGACAAGATGCATGCCATAGGAAGCGTAGTTTTTGTTTTGCAATTGCAAAAATCATGGACAAATAGGAAGACCTGAAGTGCACTTATTTTAAAATTAATTTTGATTTTATTAAGAAATAAACAGTTATGGTTAGAGAGTCCACATTTCTGGATAACTATATCATGTTTAAACCATTTTTAATTTTTTTGATAGTTTCTGTCATTTTTAGGAATGACAGGAATGATAGGAAGATATAACTAGCTAAAAGATATGGCATTTTGCTTTAAAATGAAAGCTATTACTTTTTTTTTTTTTTAGAACTTATTTATCTAAAATCCACTCTTGTAAATATCTGGTTGGAGATTCTAGATTTTAGAGGGAAGTTGCTACACCCAGTGGAGTAGAGTCCATATACATATAAAGTATTCTTAAAAGTATTTGATAGTAATTATTGTCATTTTACTGAGTATCCATTATGTTCGACCATTATAAATGTGTTTTATGTATTCTCAGTAATCCTTATGTTAATTCTGTGGAGTAGGTAATTTGTTGTTAGAAATTTATATTCAGGTGAGTCTGAATGCAACTCTGTGGTTTTTCCATTGGGCCTAGTCATTTTTTTTTTTTTTTAATTTATTTGACAGAGAGAGATCACAAGTAGATGGAGAGGCAGGCAGAGAGAGAGAGAGAGAGAGGAGGAAGCAGGCTCCCTGCTGAGCAGAGAGCCCGATGCGGGACTTGATCCCAGGACCCTGAAATCATGACCCGAGCCGAAGGCAGCGGCTTAACCCACTGAGCCACCCAGGCGCCCCCCTAGTCATCTTTCTGAATCTTTTTCCCACCTCCAAATTTAATTGAAATGCAAGCAACCTGTCTCCGGAAAGTGACTGTAAACTCAGAAGTTGTCTATGCTAATAAGAGTGCTTTAGTTTCTTTTATTTTGGAGAAACTTTGAAACAGGTGGAACTTATTTTACAACGTTGGAAATTTTTTTCACCTTACTTGAAACTTAACATTTTGCTATTGTGACTATCTAACACATTCTAGTAATTTTTATTTTTAAAAATGATAGGGACCACTTATTGAGTATTTCCTATGGATAGGACAATGTGCTTTCTAAAATATGGTAGCTACTAGCCCCATTTAATTTTAAATGAAATTTAAAAATTCAGTTCCTCAGTTGCACTAGTCACATTTTGGTTGCTCTTATGGCTAGTGCCTCTCATAATGAGAAGTTTCAGATATAAGAACATTTTCAGCATCTCTGAGAGTTCTATTGGATAGAGCTATATACTTTACATATTTTTCCCAAGTTTTATTGAGATAGGACTTACAGCACTCTATGTTTAAGGTATACAGCATAATAAATTGACTTATATATATTGTGAAACGATTACCACAATTAAGTTTAGTTAACATCTGTCATCTAATATAGGTACAAAACAGAAAAAGAAAAGAAAAAGGGAAAAATACTTTCTTCTTATAATGAGAACTCTTAGGATCCACTCTTAACAACTTTTGAATTACATATTGTTTCTTAACCATGACCTTTCAAGGTCTCCTTTCTTGCTTTTTATTATGAGACACTAGGAAGCTAAGCTCAAAAGATAAGTAAATTGCCCACTGTACCTCTTCAGAGAGATAAAAATGACACAGTCTCTGACTTCAAAGGATTTACTCTGCAATGAGGACACAGACAAGAAATAGGAAGTGGTGTGAGAAAATAAGTCACAAAGTTTTATGGGGGCACATAAGAGAGTTATCCAAGGTTTAGGTAGTCAGAGAAGGGTTCCTAGAAGAAATCCTATTTGAGCTCGTTCTTGAAAGGCAATGATTATATTCTAGCAAAGTAGATGAACTGGACATTATTGTAAGTGGAAAGGTAAAAGTGGATGATGAGATGGACCACTTTCCAATATTTGAAGTGTATCTTAAATGAAGAATAAAAGTTTTCCCTGGTCAATGTTGGAGAGCATTCTAGATAAAGGGAGCAGTAGTATGTGCAAAGGCATTTTAGGATCAAAGAGTAACCCCTGTGGGAATTGCAACAACAATAGTTGGGTATTTGGTATTCCCTGAAAGGAGGACGAATGAGTGAAAGTGTTGGGAGATGAAGGGTAAAAGGTAGAGAGAGACCATATTCTGGGAGCTTGAACTTTATGTTGTATACATGTGCTAGTTTTATCTTACCATGACTTTATAAATTAAAAACAATTTAGTTAGAAAAAAGAAATAGAGACAAGATATTTAATGAAAAAAAAGTTTACATCCATTTTGAGGAAAGACAATGTATTTGCTATTATATTTTTTAGCTGAAATGTTGTGAAGTATGTTATCCTAGAAAAAACTCTTACTTAAAAGCCAAATTTATGCCTAGGTTAAGAATGACAAATAATACTCACATTTCTTTTGTACTTTTAGCAACCTGGAAGCTTTTCTAGCTGGTCTGGTAGTTTCCTCATGGATGATAGCATGTCTAATACTCTAAATAGCCTCGAGGAGCACACTAGTGAGTTTTACAGTATGGATGAAAATCAAACTCTGTCTGCTCAGCAGAATTCACCCACAAAGTTCCTGGCCGTAGAGGCAAATGCTGTGCTGTCCTCTCTACAGACCATCCCAGAATTTGCAGAGACTCTAGAACTTATTGAATCTGTAAGTTTGAAATTGTGAGATTATCAAAATCTCAATTTTAGTTACATGGTTTCATGTTCAGAAACTTAGTTTAAGGGACACTGACCAGTTTTATCTTAAGCATTCCTTTTATGTCATGCTTAATTTTATTCTGATTTTTTGCAGTGGCTCTTGGGAAAAACAAAAAACTTTATATCTATCTCAGTATGTACTTGGTCTAAAATTTTTAAAAAATAAAATTTAATAATTTTTTATTATACAAGTTGTACAAATATATTAGAGAGAGTTGGAAATTAGACAAAACTATAAAGAAGAAAAATCCTCCAGAAGCCCAGAGTTAATAATTTGAAGTATTTTCTTTCAGGCTGTGTATTATACATATAAAATATATATATGTGCATGTATTTTTAAACCAAAAAATACTTTTATGTATTATTTGTGGATTTTTTTTCTACATTATATCATAAACATGTATTTGGTTTCTTAACTGTTTTTCAGACTTCAATTTTAATGACTTCATACTATTCTACATATGAATGTAACAAAATTTATTTACTCAGTGTACTATTATTGAACATTTAGATGGTATCCAGTTTTTCAGTATTAAAAATTACAGAATATATTATGTAAACCCTTGTGTAAAATCATGATTATTTCCTTAGGTTAGACTGAATTTCTGGATCCAAATGTGTGACCATTTTGGAGATGTTCCATACACATTACCAAATTATATCAAATTTGATAGTATTTTTCTGATGTGGAATAGAGTGAAGCTTTATGAACTATATTCTTTGATAATAACATAAAATAATTTGTTCTTTTTACTTAAGATACTTTGACAGTAAGCTGCAGCTATTGAATTAGATGAAATATTATTTCAGAATGTTCCAAACTGGAATTGTAGTAAAACCATAATCTGTTCCTCTCAAATAGTCTTTCTTTAAAAAAAAAAAAAAAGTTGAGTAAGAAAAGAAAAAAACGAGTAGTTAACTTTGTAAAAGTCATCTTTCTATGTTCAAAATCACATTTAACTAGTTTAAAGCATTAGCTTTAGTTAAGGATTTATTTTATTGCAGGATCCTGTAGCATGGAGTGATGTTACCAGTTTTGATCTTTCTGATACTGCTGCTTCTCCTGTCAAGTCCACCCCAGTCAAACTAATGAGAATTCAACACAACGAAGGAGCCATGGAATGTCAATTTAATGTCAGCCTTGTACTTGAAGGGAAAAAAAACAGTTGTAATGGTGCAGACAGTGAGGCTGTTCCTGTAACATCCCCAAATGTGGCCAAGTTTAGCACTCCACCAACCATTCTCAGAAAGAGGAGAAGAATGCGAGTGGGTCAGTCCCCCAGCAGCGAACATAGTGATGGCTCTTTCACTGATGGCGGTAATACAGCACTAAAACACACACCGGTGAAAACACTACCATTTTCTCCTTCACAGGTAGTGGGTTGTTTTTGTTTGTTTCCAAATGTTGGTGAGCTCAGCTACATTAGATCCTTAATATCCTTACTAGCAGTTTGTTGCTTTGATAACACATAAAAATGGATAAGGTATTTAAATGTATACATGAGAGTGCTAAGCTCTGGTAGATCAGAAGCTATCTCATAAGGTGTAGTAGTTACGTTATAGTATCTTAAAATTTTTAGAGCTAAAAGGGATATTTTAGATAAGTAGTTGTACATCTTTATAGGACTCATCAGGAAATAAGCCCAGAAAGGTAAAATGGTTTGCCCACAGTTATCTAATGTCAGAGTTGAGACTGAGATCCAGTTTCCTGATTAACTGTTCAACAGATATCAGGTATACATCCATAGACAACTGCTCACTGTAAGAATTTCATGTGTCTGAAGGTTTTCTAAGGATGTCAGGAACAGATACCCACTTTCTCTTGGAGTTATATCCACCCACTTTCTCTTGGAGTTATATCCACCCACTTTCTCTTGGAGTTATATCCACCCACTTTCTCTTGGAGTTACATCCTTGGGCAGTAGATATTTACAAGAGATACAAGGCAAACTATATCTGTTATTTTATAATGCTATTTTTCTTAATGAATACTGTGTTCCAGTTGTATGCCAAACACTCTTCTTATAGCATCTCAGTTAATCCTCTTCCAAAACACCTCAGGAGTTAGGTGGAACAACTTCGGAAGTTAATTTGTCCACAGTCCATTAGTAAGAGAAAGAAGCTAATGTTTGCTGAAAGTGTCTTGGTAGAGGTTAAAAAGTTTTATGGAAAAAGAAGGAAATTTAATGGTCAAATAAACTTGGAAGATGCTGGGATATTATTGGAGATGTCCTTTGATGCTAGGAAGTTGGAGAATCTGACTGTACATAAACACTTGTTCTCTGAAAATTATTTATCCTGTGCTTCAGGGGATGCCATTTACACAGACTACAGTTTGAATAGTTGCATTTTCTGATACCACCCCAGCTCTCAGAGTTACAAAGCATCTGAGGAAGGTGAAACTGGGTTGGGCACACTAGTAATTTTCTATCTTTGGAGTTTGTAACACTAGCAATTTTTGTTGAAATATAAATCCTAAGGGAAAAGTAGCGGAGAAGGTTGAGGCATGATAGTAAAGACCTTGTATCCCAGAGTAAAAAGCTTGTATTTTATCCTATAAGTGATGGACACCATGGCAGGGTTTTGAGAGCATTTGACTACTAATTTTATGGCTAAGTGTGTTGTAAATCTTAGGAGCTGGAAGTGTTAGAGCTAGGATTCATTCCAGTTACAAGTAGCCTTAACGTGGTAGGCCTGGGTAGCTCAGAGGGTTAAGCCTCTGCCTTCGGCTCAGGTCATTGTCTCAGGGTCCTGGGATCAGCCAAGCATCAGGCTCTCTGCTCGATGGGGAGCCTGCTTCCCCCTCTCTCTCTGCCTGCCTCTCTGCCTACTTGTGATCCCTCTCGCTCTTTCAGATAAATAAATAAGTAAACAAAAACAAAAACATAAACAAAAAAAACCCCAAGTAGCCTTAACATAATTTCCACTTCTTCCTACCACTGTTTCTATTCCATTGGCTACAAAAGTCAATCGGTATTTCATGATTATATGTAAGTTAAGATTCAATGAGTAAATTGTGTCCTTTAGAAAATGGATTCTTTTTTTTTTTTTAAGATTTATTTATTTATTTATTTGACAGAGAGAGAGAGAGAGTGGGAACACAAACAAGGGGAGTGGGAGAGGGAGAGGCAGACGCCTCACTGAGTAGGCATCCTGATGCGGGACTTGTCCCAGAACCCTGGGATCATGATCTGAGCTGAAGGCAGATGCTTAACGACTGAGCCACCCAGGCGCCCCTAGAAAATGGATTCTTGATAGCAATTCTGTAGCAAATTTTTGAGACAGCTATATTATCAGCAAAACATTATTATTTTCAGAATTCAAAGAATTCTCAAGAAAAAGATACCTAAGATTGCATATTAATAAAATAATAAAACTTTTTTCCAGTTACACTGTTATGTGAAACTGTTAAATTTAGCATAGCAGCTATTTATGGTTTCTATAGATTTTTATTTGATAATACAGTTATAAAATTATTTTACTGTGTTTTGTAACTTTCGAATATTTGTTAAGCAACTATTTATTGAAAGCCTATTATATGCTAAACACTTCAAAGAGCTAGGGAAGCAGTGATAAACAACATTAAAATTTCTGCCCTATGGAGCTTAATTTTCCTGAAGTGGAATGTAAATGAAATATTATTAATTCTTTTCTAGAAGGAGTGGAGAAATATCTTCTATTTGAAAATATCGTTGAAAATCCTATCAGTTTAATATTTCTGTAGGGATTTTAACATTCTAGAAATTGTCTTTAAATGCTCTTTTTTAGTTTTTCAACACATGCCCTGGAAATGAACAAATTAATATAGAAAATCCTTCATTTACATCAACCCCTATTTGTGGGCAGAAAGTTCTCATTACAACTCCTCTTCACAAGGAAACAACCCCCAAAGATCAAAAGGAAAATGTAGGGTAAGTGAGAAAATGGGAAGCACAATTTTAGATTAATGAGGTGCTTGGCTGGCTCAGTGGAGCATGAGAGTCTTGATCTTGGGGTTGTCACTAGAAGCCCCACATTTGAGCATAGGGTTACCTATAAATAATAATAAAAATGACTTTGTTTAAAAAAAGCTTTTCATCCATTTATCCTAATCCCTATTCATATAGGACTTAGCATTGAAAAAAAAGATCATAACCTTATGTTTCATTCCTACTGACTGAAAACCAGCTACAGGTAATGGAAAACTTTGATATGAAGCAAAATAACAATTTTAGTACTTTTTTCTACATTTGTCTTTTTCTATTTTAAGATGATTGATTGGAGTAAGAATTAGTTTAGGCAAGCTACTATAAAATAGTCCTGGAATGTTTAAATAAAACGTGTATGCTAGAAAAGTTTAGTGTATGCTTTTATCATGGGTTTGCCTTCCTTAACCCTTATAGAATCAAATTTTGACTGTAATACAAATATCTAAATGATTGGCTAGGTTTAGAACACCTACTATTAGAAGATCTATATTGGGTACCACACCAAGAACTCCTACGCCTTTTAAGAATGCGCTTGCTGCTCAAGAGAAAAAATATGGACCTCTTAAAATTGTGGTATGTATATTCTTCTTATTTTTAAGAAATATCCTGATCTTAATAAAAATTTTTTTGATCTTTATCTTTGATTTTTTTACATTTTGAAAAGATGTTCACTGAAATTAGTAAAAAGCTTATTTCTTGATTTATAAATTTGAATTTGTTGTATGAATCCTTTCCCTTGACTTGTAAATAAGCCTTTGCTTGGCTTGTTTGGAATTCATACTTTTTTACATTAAGTCACATAGAGAAAGCAAATCAAGTGTCAGTTGGACCCTTTCCTTAATATTAAAACCCACCTTTTAGTAGTTTCTGTGGTGGATACCTGCAGTAGAATAAAGTAATTTTAATATTTTGATATACATAAGCACTTTCCTAATAATATTTATGACTGATCAGGATACCTCTTTAAAGTTCAGTTTACTCTTCTATTCAATGGAGATCATAAAACACATCCCAGAGGGTTATTTCTGGAGATTAAAAAGATAGGTGAAATAAAGGGGTTGGTGCTAAGATTCAAAGAGCATGTACTTACTTGTTGCGATGATTAATCATGGTAGCAATAGTAGTTAATAAATGGAGGTAGAAAGTGTTATCTGTGCTTTTAGATATATAGTCAACTTTGAAATATGTTAGATGAAAACTATGGGCATTCTAATTCTAGGTAGATACAGGTCTCTGACAAGTTAGGTTCATTAAAAATAAAATATTTTAAAAATATTGGTCACTTCTAGGAGAGTTTAGTTATATTCCTGTATTTTTAGTCATATTTTGACAAGATTCATTCATTCTAATTTACTTGATTTAATCAGTTTTCTACCAAAAGGAATGTCATACCCTCAAATCTTCTGTTCTTTTCCCTCTTTTGAAAATATTGGTTAGAGGGTACATAGTAAGATTGATGAAATTTTTTTGTCCCCTAGCGCCTTAGACTGCTGTGAACAATTATATTCTTTTTAGCTGTGTGGACTTTTATTTGTGCATGTACACATAACTAAAGTGAGATCACACTTTATGTACTACCTTGTAATTTTTTTAAGTTAATGTGTATATATGTATCTCATAATTTTTAATATTTGTATTATATTCCACTGTATGGAATTACCTAATTGATTGGACTAATCTGTTTCAGTGTTTTGCCATTCATTTAAAATGCATCATTATTTCAACAAGCTAATAGGTACCATGCACTGCGCTAGGCTTTGGGGATGTAATGTTGAACCTGTCAGATATGTTGTTTGTTTTCTTAGGAGTGTGTACCTAATTGGGAGATAGACAAATAAACAGTGATTTGAAGGCATTTAAGAATTCTACAGTGCCTCAGGGTCATTTGTTCAGCATATAAATTGAATAAAAATTGTTACTTTAATAATAGCACATGAGAAATCAGGTTTTAAGTGACCTCAAGTTCCCTGGTAGTTTGTTCTCATTTGGAAGAATTTATCCATTGCCAAAACAGATTATTTTCATCAGCAATTTAAGATAAAGAGAAAATAATGATTTAGTAATTTTCTAAAATATCTATATGTTCATACATTTGTTTGCAGGAAGCTCACTTTTTCGCTTTTCTTTCCTCCTGTTCCTTCTCCAGTTATTTACTGAGTACATACAATATGCTAACCATTTAGTTTTCTTTTCTTTTTTTAAATTTTATTTCTTTATTTGTCAGAGAGAGAGAGAGAGCACAAGCAGGGGGAGCAGCAGGCAGAGGGAGAAGCAGGCTCCCCACTGAGCAAAGGATTCCCCATATAGAACTGGATCCCAGGACCCTGGGATCATGACCTGAGCCAAAGACAGACACTTAACCAACTGAGCCACCCACGTGTCCCTAACCATTTAGTTTTCTAATGTATCTTACTGTGAGTCACATGCATTTCTTACAGAGGGTTCCAGAATTTTAATCTGGTATACCTTAAATATCTGTTGCTTCCTTTTCTTTTTTTTTTTTTAATTTATCTATTCGACAGAGAGAGACACACAGAGAGAGGGAACACAAGCAGGGGGAGCAGGAGAGGGAGAAGCAGGCTTCCCACCCAGCAGGGAGCCTGATGTGGGCCTTGATCCCAGGACCCTGGGATCATGACCTGAGCAGAAGGCAGCTGCTTAATGACTGAGCCACCCATGCGCCCAAGTATCTGTTGTTTTCTTTTTTTTTTTTTTAATTTTTTTTAATCATTTTTTAAATTTATTTTCAGCATAACAGTATTCATTGTTTTTGTACCACACCCAGTGCTCCATGCAATCCATGCCCTCTCTAATACCCACCACCTGGTTCCCCCAACCTCCCACCCCCCCACCTCTTCAAACCCTTCAGATTGTTTTTCAGAGTCCATAGTCTCTCATTGTTCACCTCCCCTTCCAATTTCCCCCAACTCCCTTCTCCTAACTCCCCATGTCCTCCATGCTATTTGTTATGCTTCACAGATAAGTGAAACCATATGATAATTGACTCTCTCTGCTTGACTTATCTGTTGTTTTCTTAATAAACATTGATTTTTCTAATGTTTGCTGAAGATCATTCAAAAGACTAAAAACTCTGGAAATTCTTTAAATATAAATCTAAATTTTGGTAGTATCAAACACAAGTATTAAGTACAGTAGTTCTTTTCTTTGTCACATTAGGACAATTAAGAGAATAATTCTTGGATGCCTGGGTGGCTCAGTCAGTTAAGCTCCTGCCTTCGGCTCAGGTCATGATCCCGGGGTCCTGGGATCAAGTCCTGCATTGGGCTCCCTGCTCAGTGGAGAGCCTGCTTCTGCCTCTCCCTCTGCCTGCTGCTCTGCCTACTTGTGCTATCTCTTTAAAATAAATAAATAAAATCTTAAGAAAAAAAAAGAATAATTCTTGGTAGTGAATGAATTCATCTGTGTCTTAGGCACTTCTCTAGGACATTTGTATTCTTATGAGGGAGAAACAAATCATAGATTTTTTTTTTTTTAAAAGAGTACCTAATCAATGTTCTTTGTGAAATATAATCCTTAAAACAAAAGCTCTTGGAGCATTACATGGAAATACTGATATAATTCCTGCATGTCTCAGGCTGTAGATGCAAGCACTTGAAAAATTCTCTTTCCATTATTAAAGCTTTTGTAAGTGCTGTGAAATCTCATTTATACATAAATGTTATTCTCCCTAGTTTTGTTGACTGGTAATATAAGCTGCTGGTCATTCTGTGCTGTCAGTTTGTTCTTTAGTGATTAATTTTTTTTTTTTTTAAAGCAGATCTGGGGTATGATGGGTGTCATTTGATATAATTAAAAACATTTTTCCCGGGGGCGCCTGGGTGGCTCAGTCAGTTGGGCATCCAGCTCTTGATTTCGGCTTAGGTCATGGTTTCAGGATCCTGAGGTTGAACCCCAAGTGGGTCTGTGCATGGAGCCTGCTTATGTTTCTCTCTCTCCCTTTCCCTATGCTCCACACCCCACATGTGTGCGCTCTCTCTAAAACAAACCAACCATTTTTCTGACTTACATGGTAGACCTAGATATTTGATTGGAAGCTAGGTAAATAATATTTTGAGACTATTTCACTATTCAGCCCATACTCAAGTTTCTTTCTAATACCCACATAGACACACCACACACTACTTCTTGAACACTATCTCAGCTCCAAGCTTGAGGCTAGATGTACAGAGATATACACAAAAATGAAAAAGATGTGCTCACTGCTCTTAAGTAGCTCACACATTCAGTGGTAAGAGAAACATGTTAACTAGTAATAATAATATAATAAGTATAATAAAAGTAGAATAAGGAGAACTAGTATAGTCCCAATTTGTTCTTTACTTCTTATTTTTCCTATTTTTATATAAAAATATTTGGGAAATAATCTCTTAGCTGTTTAATTCTGAGGCTCCTGATTGAAGCAGGAGCTACAGTAGGTTCCCCAGGAGGAGGAAGCCTAGAATGAAGCGTAGAGTGAACAAAGTGTCACACTACATTCAGTGCTTGCAATGTGCAGTATTATTTTTGCCATAAAACTGATTACTTAATTCATTCAACTTAAGTATCTACAGGGACTGGGAGAAAATTATGCCAATAATGAAAAAGTATTAAAGATGTATACATGGGGGAAAAGGAAATTTCTATAAAAGACTCTTTAATAACTCTCTTAAAAACAATTTAGTCACAGCCACTTGCCTTCTTGGAAGAAGATATTCGGGAAGTTTTAAAAGAAGAAACTGGAACAGATATATTCCTCAAAGAGGAAGATGAACCTGCTTACAAAAGCTGCAAACAGGAGGTAATCTTACAATATTATTGTTAATAAAAGTCTTTATTTTAAAAATAAAAGTGACTTTGCCATAATGTTTCTATTGTAAATTATTCATTCTAGCATACAGCTTCTGTAAAGAAAGTCAGAAAATCACTAGTCTTAGATAATTGGGAAAAAGAAGAACCAGGTACTCAACTATTGACTGAAGATATTTCAGACATGCAGGTTTGTGAAGAATTTTTTTGTTGTTGTTAAGATGATTGCTTTAAGTCCTGCCGGTTCTTGTTTCTTACTCATTGTGTGGTTAGTGCATTAGAGATTGATAAAGAGTTTCCTTTAGTATTTATATTGCTTACTTCAGAAAGAAACTACTAATTGTAGAGAATATTTTATTTACTTTCTTGCTTTTTATATTTGTTTTGTTTTGAGAGGAGTTTGCTCTCTTATGTATGATGTCAAAAAATGGTAGTTCTCAAAACTTTAAATTTCAATATTTATCTTTGGTTAATTTCTGAAATATTTAATTTTACTACATTACTAGAAATTTCGTTGGAGCCAAAAGCTTTCTTCGAAGGAAATGAACAGGGCTTCCACCACCACTTACTCAGTAGTCCCTCTATTTGTCTCCATTTTTGAATTGGTTATTTTCCTCTTTCTTTTTTCTCTCTTAGTCAGAAAATATATTTACAACATCTTTATTAATGATACCATTATTGGAAATACATGACAATAGGTGCAACTTGACTCCTGAAAAACAAGATATAAACTCAACCAACAAAACATATACACTTAATAAAAAGAAACCAAACCCTAACACTTCTAAAGTTGTCACATTGGAAAAGAACCTTCAGGTATGAATTTATAAGTTTCTTTCAGTGATTTTTGTTGTTGTTTATTCAGTTATCATTTTGGACTTACTGATCACAAACTATACCTTTTCTTTTTAGATTCAAAACTGACTATAACAGTAACTAAACATTCATCATTATTCTGTCACTCAAACTAAATTTGGGTTTTTGAGAGACTCATTCATCAGAGCACATATAAATTAAACAATTGAAGTTGTAGCCAGAGTCTCTTCTCTTGATTTCTTAAGCACGATTTCATTTTTAAACTAAAGATACCTAAGTCTCCTTCTGGCATCTCTTCTGTAACAAATATGTGTAGCCCTAATTGCTATCTTGAAAGGGTAAGTGGTTGGAAGCAGTTTCAGCTTGATTTTGTTGGTACAGTTGTTTCCAGTGAACTTTTTGGCTCAGAAGTTATAAAACAAAATTCTTTTTTTCTGTTGCTATGCAGCCATTATGTCGCTGTAAATGAGGACTGGAAGATTTTTTACTACATTATCTTAAGAATTCAAACCAGCTAGTTTGAGAGTTCATTGAGGAAGAAGTTATCTTCTTTATACCACAGTGACGGCAGCACTAGCATTCCTGACATTTAAGCAGTCCTTGAAAACATCTTTGACAATCAGACGTTGCCATCTCATCTCTGTCTTTAGCTGCTGCCCTTCAAAGAGCCATGTAGCACATTCTCTTAGTCCATTTTAAATGGTTTGATTTCCCAGTGTTCAACACAGTACTTTTTAGGAAAATATATTATGTAGCCGGTCATACCTATAATGTAGTAATCTTTATAATAAAGGAAGAAAACCAAGGAAGCAAACACAAACTTGATCTTGTATTATGAATATATTTCCTAATTTGCAAAACATAAAGCATTCTTGGCTCATTTTTTGACATTACATCCTCTCTTTAAATCCTTAGCAAAATTTTAAAGCAATAAAGACTTGACATTTCTTTCTGTGTTAAGACTGATTTGAATTGTGGGGTTGTGGGTAGAGAATTTTTAATTGCTTCCACAGGTCTATGAACAATGTAGGTAGTTAAAAAAGATGGACCTTTAAAAATAAAAATTAATTAATTAAAAAAAGAGAAAAAGATGGACTTAAAAAAATTGACCATAAATATTTCAGTATGTATTTTTAAAACATTGTTTAATAAGAAGTATCACAGTGCCATCATCAAAACTTTTTACGGTGATTATTTATCATTAAATATCCATTTGGTTGAAATAATTGACTTAAAAGTGTAATGAATTGTAAAGTGGAATGGATAGTTATTTTAGTAATCTTCACATCACTATTAATGTTTCTTTCATAGTCAAACTGTGAATGGGAAACAGTGGTTTATGGGAAGACGGAAGACCAACTTATCATGACTGAACAAGCAAGAAGATATTTGAGCACCTACACAGCTACCAACAGTACTTCAAGAGCTCTCATACTGTAATTGTTATTAAAATTGATGAAATGCCCTACTTTTACTGTATTCTGTACTAAATTAGGTTGCAATGAAATTTTTGTCAAATAATTGTTTTTAAAGTGTTAATATAACCCTAAAACGGTTTGCATCTTTTTTCATATTGGGCAGGCATGATGCTCAGCCACTTAAGTAAGGGGTTGGTAATTTCATAGTTAATTTTTTAAGAGATGAGATTTTTAAAAATTGTTTTTAAAAGAACAAGATGGGAAAACCGTGTTAGAATGTTATAAATATCCTAAAAGTAAATTCTCACATATTTTCTTCAGAAGATGTATGTTCCTACTCTCTTGATGCTGCAGTTTTGTTACAGATAGGTTATGAGTATGTGTGATTTCTGTAATTAGTCTATGTATGGGAAGCACACATGGTTTTATGAAGTACTTTTGCCTATGTGCTGACTGACTTAGGCTACCATTTACAAAGAAATACAGTGGAAAGAAATTGAAAAGAAGGAGAGAAAGTTGCACTACTAATTTTTGGTATTTTTCAAAAACTATAAAATTAACTACAGTGTTAAATGTATTTATTTGAGCATAGTACTAAAAACAAAAAGCATTGATAAAGGTTTTTTTCCTTATTAGTAAAGAGTCAGTATTTTCTTCATAAATCTCAGAAGAGCTGAGAGTTTTGTTGAATGTATTGTACAGTATGTAGGAGCAAGAAGACTTTGTAAATTGGAAAGTCTTTTTATAATTTATTTTCATTTTTAAAGCTTAAATGTAGATATTTATACCTATACAGGGTGTCTAGAAGCCAGTGTTGTTTCCTGTTATTTACAGCTAACATAAAGAACAATTTTGATGTTTAAGTATGAAATATGAAACAGTAGTAAGTTATAGCTGCAAAGAATACAGTATCTACACTGTATGTCACATCTACCTAAATATTGCACTATGCCCTTTAAATCATGTTGGTTATAAAGTAGTTCTAAAAAGTACTAAATAATAATTTAATATTTTCTTTTTAAATTATATGGGGGGGTCATATAAATTAATCTGGTGATTTGTATATGTGTTTGAAATTTTTCCATTTTGTTTAAACAAATAACATGGTACTTGGGTCCCTAAAAACAGTCTGCACTTAGAAGTTTATTGTTTTTACTCAGTGTTTCAGAAGTAGAGAACATTATTTTTTATTTATAAAAATATTTTGTCCTTTTATAAATGTTTTATGTTTCTCTACAGGTTACAACAGTTGCTTCAGTTGCCTGTTTTAGGTGTTTGCACTTATTTCTTTTTGAAAGAATGTCTTTATTTGCTTTTGTGTAGAGATTTTATGTACTTTTTTTTTTTGAGACATATAATGGTGTGCTGTCAACTTAAACACTGACAGGCAAATAGAATTGTACACTGTAGTTGTAATTATTTATAATTGACACACTCTCTCCCTCTCCACTCCTGAAGTATGCTGCTATAAAAAATAGCAGAATCGGCTTGCTGCTATGAGAGAAGGAAAGAGCCACCACAACTTGCACTGTGTGAAAAGGTAAAAAGCAAATGATGGCAAGTTCTCAAGTTAACTTAATGGAATCAACCATTACCAGGCAAATTCTTGCAAATGCCAAAATACTATGCCTTAAAACAAAGACAGCTTAAGATTTTCTGATGTTTTTACGTTAATAGAAATGGTAATACTAAGTATTTTAATGCCTAGCTCTTGAACAGTAGACCTAAAAGGGTTTTAAGCTATTTAAATCCACTTGCTCATTTTTGCATATTATATGTAGTGAGAAGTGAAGAAAATGTATGGTACCAAGATTATGCCTTGTTGATAACAAATAGATGAGCCAATTTGAATCTTCTTCGCGTGTTTGTTAAGTCTATTGATTGCTTCCTAATTAGTGAACTTCTCACAGAAATATCACTTTATAAAACCAATGATTGTAGCAAAATCATACTGGACCCTTTCAATTTCAGTTACTTTGAACTAATAGCACATAATGGTTTTTGTTTGTTTGTTTGTTTGTTTTAATGTAGCCCAAAGCCCTTAGCTGGTTTGGATGTACATAGTTTCCAGTCACCAAAGTATATCTTGGAAGAGCTATATTTTTTTAAAGCATAATTTTTCTTGAGCATTAAATTATCCCAAGTATAATATATTGCAGATAAGCCTGGGCTTATTGGACATAGTACATATTTGGGTTGGTATTGGTTGAATCCTTTAGTTAACTGCTTTGTTGCTTTTTGCAAGAAGATTTTTAATCTTAAACATGTCAGGCATCTTAAGTCACCTTTATACTGTTGTGTTCATTTGAATTCCTTTCAGTATGTTATAAAAATGCCAGACATACATGTAGCAGCCATACTTGCATGGAAACTGACTACACATATATAATACTGCATTTTGTCGTAAGGTTTTCACATTAATATGGCAATTACCCTGACTAAACTGAGTTTTTTGATGTATGGGAAAACTTTCCATTGTAAGAGAATCTTGCATACAATGTTGACTATTAACATCTATAATAAAGCATCTGTGTACAAGTTGACTTGGCATTCCTTGTTTCACTTTGGTTTTGTTTTATGGTATTGATTGGTCTGTTAAGGACTTAACCCAACATTCTGTTCTTAGACATTTTTTTCCCTTTAGTTCTACATATACAGGTGATTTTATCTGTTAACACAACCTGACCTCCTTATCAAGAAGTGGAAATACTCACACAGTCTCTTTCAGAGCCATATTTTCAACTGCTTTTAAATATTTCCATATGACTCTTCTTTTTTTAAAAAATGTATTTATTAATTATTGTTATTAACATATAGTGTATTGTTTGCCCAAGGGGTACAGGTCTGTGAATTGTCAGGCTTACACACTTCGAAGCACTCACCATTTCACATACCTTCCCCAGTGTTCATAACCCAGTCATCCTCTCCATAATCCCCCTTCCCCCAGCAACCCTCAGTTTGTTTCATGAGATTAAGAGTATCTTATGGTTTGTCTCCTCCTGATCCCATCTTGTTTCATTTTTTCCTTCCCTACCCCCCAAACCCCCCACTCTGCCTCTCAAATTCCTCATATCAGGGAGATCATATGATAATTGTCTTTCACTGATTGACTTATTTTGCTCAGCATAATACCCTCTAGTTCCATCCATGTCGTTGCAAATGGCAAGAGTTCATTTCTTTTGATAGCTGCATAGTATTCCATTATATATATACACCACATCTTTATCCATTCATCTTGATGGACATCTAGGTTCTTCCCATAGTTTGGCTATTGTGGACATTGCTGCTATAAACATTCAGGTGCACCTGCCCCTTCGGATCACTACATTTGTATCTTTAGGGTAAATACCCAGTAGTGTGATTGCTGGGTCATGGGGTAGCTCTATTTTCAACTTTTTGAGGAACCTTCATACTGTTTTTCAGAGTGGCTGCACTAGCTTGCATTCCCACCAACAGTGTAGGAGGGTTCCCCTTTCTCCGCATCCTCTCCAACATCTGTCATTTCCTGACTTGTTAATTTTAGCCATTCTGACTGGTGTGAGGTGGTATCTCATTGTGGTTTTGATTTGTATTTCCCTGATGCTGAGTGATGTGGAGCACTTTTTGATGTGTCTGTTGGCCATCCGGATGTCTTCTTTGGAGAAATATCTGTTATGTCTTCTGCCCATTTCTTGATTAGATTATTTGTTCTTTGAACAGGGGTTTATCAATCTTACTAATTCTTTCAAAGAACAAGCTCCTAGATTCGTTAATTTGTTCTACTGTTCTTTTGGTTTCTATTTCATTGATTTCTGCTCTGATATGATTTCTCTTCTCTTGCTGGGTTTAGGCTTTCTTTGCTGTTCTTTCTCCAGCTCCTTCAGGAGTAGGGTTAGGTGTGTACTTGAAACCTTTCTTGTTTCTTGAGAAAGGCTTGTATGGCTATACACTTTCCTCTCAGGACTGCCTTTGCTGTGTCCCACAGATTTTGAACAATTGTGTTTTCATTATCATTTGTTTCCATGAATTTTTTTCAATTCTCTTTAATTTCCTGGTCGACCCATTCATTCTTTAGTAGGATGCTCTTTAGCCTCCATGTCTTTAGTTCTTCCCAACTTTCCTCTTGTAATTGAGTTCTAGCTTCAGAGCATTGTGGTCTGAAAATATGCAGGGAATGATCCCAATCTTTTGGTACTAGTTGAGACCTGATTTGTGACCCAGGATGTGATCTATTCTGGAGAATGTTCTATGTGCACTTGAGAAGAATGTGTATTCTGTTGCCTTGGGATGGAATGTTCCAAATATATCTGTGATGTCCATCTGGTCCAGTGTGTCATTTAAGGCCTTTATTTCCTTGTTGATCTTTTGCTTGGATGATCCATCCATTTTAGTGAGGGGGGTGTTAAAGTCCCCTACTATTATTGTATTATTGTCAATGTGTTTCTTTGATTTTGTTATTAATTGGTTTATATAGTTGGCTGCTCCCATGTTAAGGGCATAGATATTTAAAATTGTTAGATTTTAAACAATCCTTCTTGTTGGACAGACCCTTTGAGTATGATATAGTGTCCTTCCTCATCTCTTATTATAGTCTTTGGCTTAAAATCTAATTTATCTGATATAAGAATTGCCACCCCAGCTGTCTTTTGAGGTCCATTAGCACGATAAGTTGTTTTCCACCCCCTCACTTTAAATCTGGAAGTGTCTTTGGGTCTAAAATGAGTTTCTTGTAGACAGCATATTAATGGTTTTTGGTTTTTTATCCATTCTGATACCCTGTGTCTTTTGATTGGGGCATTTAGCCCATTTACATTCAGGGTAACTATTGAAAGATATGAATTTAGTGCCATTGTATTGCCTGTAAGGTGACTGTTACTGTATATTGCCTCTGTTCTTTTCTGGTCTACTACTTTCAGGCTCTCTCTGCTCAGAGGAGCCCTTTCAATATTTCCTGTAGGGCTTGTTTGGTGTTTGCAAATTCTTTTAGTTTTTGTTTGTCCTTGAAGCTTTTATCTCTCCTTCTATTTTCAATGATAGTCTAGCTGGATATAGTATTGTAGGCTGCATGTTTTTCTCATCAGGGTGTTACCCAGCCAGGGTAATGGTCACCCAGCCAGGTCTGTGCAGTATTATATTACCTCAGTGAATTCATCACCATTTAGATTTTACCTTTAGCTTTCTAGGCTTAGAAATCTGATAGATTAACTCACCAAAAATAAGTTTACCCTTCAGTAGAATGCTTATCTCAAATGTGCAAGACTGACACATGAAACTGAAATGTCGGTCTATGAATTTACAGTATGAAATACAACTGCTAGGAGGATGAGGTACATTCTCTACTGTGAAAGCATAAGGAAACAGATATAAAAACCACATAGATTGATCACATCTCTTTTGTTCAAAGACCTTCTGTAGTTTGTTCCCTAAATAAAAATAATTCTACTTCACTTCCTAACCTAGACCTGGTGACTTGGCTCTTCCAGAACACAGATGTACATGCTTCTACCTCCGTGCCTGTGTTTGTAGTGTTTCCTCTGCATGATTGTTTTGCTTTTGTCTCCTTAGCCTGTTAAAATTTTACTCATCCTTGATGGCACAGATCTGTGAATCATTGCCTGATTACCCTAGTGCTTCCATAAAACTTTCCCACTAGACTTGTTTTGAAGAGTGGGGACTGCTATTTATAGCTCCTTGTCTAGCATGGTGCTTAGAAAATCTCAGTAAATATTGAAAGAATTTTAAAAAATTCATTGTGACTATGAGAATAACAGCCATAATTTACACAACAGATTGATTAGAAATAGCTTTGGCTTCTTAGTTATCCATATGAAATGAGTTTTGCCTTATAGTCAATAAACTATTACTGTGTTAAAGTCTTTTATCTCCTTTTTTAACCATGTAATTTCCTGCTTGTTTTATGAAGCTATAGAGTGATAGACTTGCCAGCCAATCAGACCCTTAATTATATTGAAAAACAGATGGTAGTTTTTGAAGAGGTACTTACCACTCTGTGAGAAGTGAAAATTTAATTAAGGTAGTGTAAGGTAAAATGAATCAAGTGAAATTCCATTGGAACTTTATACTTTCCCCTTCCCTGGCTTTTAAAAAAAAAAAAATAACTAGCTACAGTCAATAGTATGTGAAATATTATCAGTAGAAAACCAAGATAAAGTG